GGGGGTATGAGGCTGTCTGCTCCCATGAGAGATGGACAGCTTCGGAATCTAGGGTCACTCTGGGTCAGAATGGACTCAAGGCGGTGGGGATGCTTTGTTTAATATTTTGAAGGATCTGTTCGATGATGTAATATTTTTTAAAGCCATGGAATATTCACCATGCTTTCCCCAGAGGCCAGCCCATCACAAACGTCCAGTAAGTGGCCAGAATCCTTGTCCGGCACCAGGGGAGGAGTAAGCAAAACGCTGTGACCCGGGAGTGAGAGTCTGTGGTGTGGGGTCCTTTATTTATGATGTAAGTGGGGCAGGACATGGTGGCTTTGGGAGTCAATCTGAGCACTTGAGGTTGATGGACAGAAAGGGGCGGCTCAAGAGTCTTCCCTCAGGCTCTACGACACTCCTGGTCGCCTCTGACTCCTTTGTCTCAGCAACCTCCTGGGGCAGAGCTGCCATCCTTAGGCTAGGACACACTGTCGTTGCTTGAGCCCCGTGCTTCACAGCTGGGCAGGTAACCCAGAATGGAGCCACCGGGCTTGTGAGGTGGTTGTACCTGGTGATAGCAAGGCCTCCCCTCTAACAGAGCTAGTGACAGGTTAGGGCCAGGACTTCGAATGATTTCATGGTGGAATCCCAGCGGGCACACGTCCTTGTTCCTCCTTGGACCATGTGCGCGTGCCCTGCCAGGTCAGTAGAAACGTGCCCTGCCAGGTCAGTAGAAACGGCTGCCCCACTCCGTTTCACGTTCCCCGGGTCTCGGTTTTCCCATCATGCTGTTAAACCCGTCTGTGCTTCCTGTCACGCTCCCGAACAGCCTCTGCCTGCCCTGCTCCGTCTCCTAACCTGGCCACACTAGCTACTGTGAGACTCACATCGGCAGAATCCACTTGTCAGCATCTTCGCCCAAGCCAATTTTCACTTTCTACAAAGAGCCCGCTGTGCTGGTGACACAGAGGGAACCAAGCAGCCAGCCCCCTCCTCCTGGATCCCGTAATGTAGAGGGACGCCAGGCAGAAAACAGCCCGGTGCAGGCAGAAGGTGGGGAACCCGCTGCCAGCCAGTCATTGCGCCCTACAATGACCCTGTCCAGGGTTCCCAAAGCTATCAACCTTTACAGGAGCAGACAGCCTCGTCTTTCCCACAGTGGATTTGAACTGCCAATATTGAGTTAAGCAGCCCAGCACTAACCCAGTATGCCACCAGGGCTGCTTAGAAAAGTGATGTGTTCCCTTTTAAAACCGGCCTGGCCTTTGTGGTCACATACACATCTTTCAACTATGTACGTCACCCTGTTATTATTCATTCTGAAAGGGCAAAGGTGAGATTTTGGACCTAAGGAAAACAAAAAGCAAGTCCCGGGCAGGTGTGGAAACCACAGGTGTGGCCCTGTGGTCTGGGCTCTAAACTCACCGCAGGCAGACCACTGAGCCGGAAGCAGGCCAGCCGCCGCCACCCGGCTGGTGCAGGCTGCACAGGCGCTGGCGAGAATGACCGGCTTCTCCAGGGCACCGAGGGAGGGGCACCAGGCCTCCTGCTGGACCCGGACGCTTTGTGTGCCGTGTGGCTAGTAATTACAGTTCACCACTAGGACCTGGCAGCTGGAGCCAGGAGTGGGTTTGTTTTCCTTCCCGCCCCTGTGGGTGTGGAGAGCAATTAGGAGGAGAAAGTGGGAATGCTGAGACAAGTGCCAGCGGAATTCCCAGGACTCGAATGGGGGCCCAGATCCTTTTCCTGTCTCTGGAAGAAAGCCCTTTCACTCACCCTGTTAGGAGGCAGGAGAGAAACCCGGATGACAGTCTTTCTAAGCTCCGCCGGGATCCGAATCTCAGGAGAGCACTTTGTGCGTGGATTGATCTCCGGGATACCGTGTGTGTCCCTTCCTTTAGTCCCTTCCTTCAGCACCGGCCCTGAAACACGCAGGGAGCTGCCCCTCCCCAGCAAGGTGGGACTGTATCTCGGGCTTCGGTCTGCCAGTGCTGCCTGGATGAGGTGCCGAGCGGGGGGACAACATGACTCCCCGAGAAGAAGCCTCAGTCTCTGGAGGCCGTCAGCCTCAGCTCCGTGGTTTTGCTTTGTTTTAAATCATTGTATTGGGGGCTCATGCAGCTCTTATCAAAACCCATACATACAACCATGTGTATGTCAAGCACATTTGTACATTTGTTGCCATCATCATTTTCAAATCATTTTCTTTCTACTTGAGCCCTTGGTATCAGCTAATTTTCCCCCTTCCCTCCCCAACTCGCCCTCCCTCATGAACCCTTGACAATTTATAAATTTTTGTTTTAATGTCTTACACTGACCAAGGTCTCCTTTCACCCCCTCTTCTGTTGTCCATGTTTGTTTTTAACGGGACGTTATCTCAGAGGCTTGGCGTTGTTGACTTACCTGCTGGCGGGGATGGCTTTGTTGGGAGGTAAAGGGGCTGCCACTCCAGAGCCCCTCCTTGCACAAGCCCCTCTCAAGACCCTGGGAAGGGGTACGGGCAGTTCAGGGGCCTGAAACGTACTCAAGTCCCGTGGTCCTCTGTATGTAAAACAATGCAGCCCTCCTAAAACACACTTGTGCGGGCCCTCCTGAGCCTTGGAAAGGGCCCCACAGGCCAAAGCCCAGGAGCAGGACTGCACCTGCTTCCAGGACCCCCCAGGCACAAAGTAGTGGGGTCTTTGCAGCCCACCTGGCCTTGACCTGCAGGCCAAAGTGCCCTGTTTTGGTTGCTGGTGATGATGGTGTTGTTTGTAACAACTGCATTCTACTTCACGCACCGTACAGTTGACCCTTTTACCGTGTTCACAACTCAGTGGCATTTAGTGCATCAGAGTTGTGTAACCATCACCGCCCATAGTTACGGAATATTTCCAATACCCCCAGAAGAAACCCTGTAACCTTCAGCTACTCCTCCAAGCCCTCGGTAACCACGGATCTCCTTTCTGTCTCTCTCAATTTGCCGCTCTGGACGCAACGTCCCAGGGAGCACCCTGCTGCCACAGCGGGTATGTGCCAGGCTGCTCCCTCCCTGCCCGGTCAGCAGTTAGAAATCACCAGTCGCACCTCTCTCCTCCCGGACCAGTTCAGTCTGGGACACACACCAAGGCACCTGTCCCTGTTCTGTAGGGTGACCAGAGTTGGAATTGAGTCCACGGCAGTGAGTGTGGTTTGGGTTGAATGTGACCTATAAATACAAGCATACGCGCATAGCCTTTTGTGACAGTCCTTTCCCTTAGCATACTGATTTCCAAGTTCATTCCTGGATCGTAGTGTGGATTGGCATGGTGGTCCTTTTGTCTACCTTTAGTGTACAAACATCAAGTCTTCGCTTTACACTTACCCAGGGGCTAAGGCATCCTCCCCCTCCCGGTGCATTTGCCTCCAATGTTTAAGGTAATCACTGCATGGTTTAAAAAATATGTCTTCTCTGCACAGTTCATCGGCCTCTGTCCCGTAGCCACCGTTTAAAAAGCATTCGTGTAAAAGCGCATCCAAATATGGTCCAGGTGTGTGTGGATTTGGTGTCGTATCCACCCAGTGCCCTTCCAAGTGCGTAGAGACGCCTCTCCACAAGGTTCTGCCATGCTGGAGAAATATTTAGGATACGCCCTGTGAGCATGCTGGCCCCGCCTGGCTAGGCCGTGTGTGGTGGACCCCAAGCCGCGTTCCTGTGGTTTTCTCTCCGCATTTTGCAAACCATCCCATTTCAGGAGGCACACAAAGAGCTGCTCCCCAGAGAGGGAGGGAGGGAGATAGGATTTGGAATTGGATGAACAGAAATAGAAATGAGTGTGACCCAAGGCTGCAGGGGCCCTGGGCTCAATCCGCCGATTTCCCTGTGAAGTACGGGCCTCCCAGGAAAACAGATTAAATGCCCAGAACAGCTGAAATGCTCATCTGTTCACAGTTAGGGAGATTTCGGTGAGGGCCGCCGTGCTGCGTAATTACCTTAGCAGCAAGCATATAACATCTGCTTTCCTGGTGCCCGTCTGAGCTGGGGACCCGATGGCTATCCGACAAGTGCAGCTGACGCAGAGAGCTCTGGTCTGGCGGCAGATGCTGGTGTAAGAGGGACTCGCAGCAGTCACTTTGCTATGTCGCTCCCGCCTGTCTCCGGTCTGGGGTCCCCGTGTGGTACAAGTCGTTCACACGCCCAGCTGCTGACTGAAAGGCTTGGTGCCTTGGAAGAAAGGGCTGGCTGTCTACCATTGAGAAATGAAGCTCTTTAAAGCCTGTGCAGAGCACAGCTCCACTGAGGCACACACAAGGTCACCATCAGTTGGCACTGGCGGGATGGCGACTGGTTCCTGGCTTCCCAGGTGGGGGGCTGAAGTTTAGAGAGAGCGCCTACCTGCCCAGGTCTCACATGAGGACGGAGGTGACAGGTGGCCCTGGGACTGGAATTCTGCTTCCTTGTCATGTTCCTGCCCTTGACCGGTTGGGGAACATCAGCGAGTGGATGGGAGCTCACGTTCTCACGGAGAGCTGCTCACAAGAATTTCTAAGGGGGCTGGAGTACTGGGAGCAGCCAGGGGTGGAGGTCAGGGCTCCCGTAGCCCCCAGAAGTGGAAGGAAACTTCTGCTTTGCTCTTTCTGTTGGGAATGGACCGGCAGCTGGGAGCTTTGAGCCCCTCCGAGTTCCCCAGATAAATGCCCCCACTTGCTGCCTCCTCATCCTCCTTCACCTGCCTGGCCCTCTCCTACTGTACCCCCCAGCCCACCCTGAGGGGCCTTCGTCCAACAGAAGGGCCTGGTGCCCTGGGCCATGATGAGGTCCAAGTTCTTTCCACAGAGGTCCCCTCTCTCCTCATGACGAGTGCAACCTTTGTTTGTTTTTATAAAAAGCAAAGTGCATCTCTGACGCCACACTGGACGTGGTAGAGTTCCAGCTGGGTGACCAAAATAGGTCTTGCTGTTCCCTCCTGTCGCCTTCGTAGGGACCTGGGGTGTCAGCCTTCCATCTCCAGAGGGCCAGGCAGGCCGGGGCTGGTGTGGAACCGTGTCTCTGGACCTTGTGGAACGGGTATGGTCTCCTCCTCCCTCCCTTCCCCTGTCTGCAGCTGTGTACACACAGCTTCGCTGCAGCCAGACAGCGGTGAGAAAGTGCCTTCGAGTGACCTCTCACCCCCAGAGCAGAATTGCCACCTCTGCAAAATTGCCAGTGCCTTGGGGCCGGGCCAGCTCTGGCTGGGGTGGGCAGGGAGGAGCCTCCATCTGAGGACGGAGTTACCAGCCCACAGCGGTCACCCCCCCACACCCTGCTTCATTAGTCCCATGAGTTACAGTGACATTTTGCCTCGGAGAAGCCCAAGCACTACGTAGCTTTGTAAACCACACAGTTACGGTGGTCAGGGTGGGCAGAGCAAAACTCTGGCCTGACATCCCATTCGTCCTCACTCAGCTCATTTCACCTGACCTGTTCCAGGCTCAGGGCGCTGGCCAGCCCTCCGGGCAGCATGCTTTGGACAGGTTTCCCCAGGCTTCTGGATGGCCCCAGGGCCTTCCCACCTCCCCACCCCCCCACCCGTCCCTGAGACTTTAGGGTCGGTCTGGCTGATCTCTGACAGGCCAGGAGCTCACCCTACCCTGGACTTTCCCCACCACCACCCCCTTTGCCATGGGCACTTGGGGACATGAGGCTGGGGTGCTGCCCATGGATGGTCAGAAAATGACACCAAGCAAAGAGGACCCAGGGGAACATGCCACCACAGCCTGCCTGGGGGCCACTGTCCCACGGAAGAGCTAGCTCTGGACTTGATGGGAGAAAAGGGGACTCTTATAGGGACTCCCCCAGCCCACCATCTCCCGCTGGGTCAAAATTTTTGAAGTCCAGTTTAGCATCAGCAGAAAGCCCCGGGCATGTGTGAGTGTAAGGTCAGGTGCAGGGGCCAGGCCCTCTGTGGTGCCAGGAGCAGTCAGGCCCAGCTCCTACATGGAGGGCAACAAGGAGGGGTGACCAGGCTAATTCTCTGGCAGCAGAGATGGGGCTCAGAATTCTGTCACTTAGAAGACAAGACTTCAAAGGCTGGGCTGGGCTCCTGCTCACCCTGTTTGCTGTGCCCCTGCCAAGGGTCTCACCGAACCACTCACCCACCTTCTCTCAAGGGACACCACACCCCAAGAGCTAGAGCAAGCTGCTTGAGACCCAAGGGGAACCCAGCAAAGGCATGTGCGATGGAGAGCCGAGTGTGGAGGGCGGGCGCTGGGAGAAGCCGCAGAACCCGTAGCTGCAGGCCAGGCTTCTCTGAGACACCGCAGAGATGAGTGAGAGGCCTGTTAGCAGTGGCTTACATGCCCTAGGCTGCTGACTGCAAGGTGAGGAGCTTGAACCCACCCGCTGCTCTGAGGGAGAACGATGAGGTTGGCTCCTCCCTTACAGGTGCAGCCTGAGAGCCCCACCGGAACTCTTCTTCTCTGTCCCGTCGAGCCGGTGAGTCGGCATTGACGCATGGCCCCCAGTTTGGGGTTGGTTCGGTTCAGTTTGGCATTGTGCAGAGCGTGTCCCTCGTCGTCGTCCTCCATATCTCTGGGGGACGTCGATGCTCTTGTTTTACTTCACAAAAATATAGCATGTGGGAGGCTGGGTGAGGGGAGAGGGGCTGATTTCAGGGAGTTCAAACAGAAAGAATGTTTGGAAACGGATTGTGGTAGCAATTATACAGTACTGCTAGGTGTGACTGGACTACGGACTGATAGGATATCTGCACTGGCTCCCAATAAAAAGGCTTGGGGAAAACCATAAACGTGTGTATGTGTGTGTGTGTCCTAGAACTGTGCCCCATAGAAACTTCAGTGGCTAGGTCTTTGAGACAAAGATCTGCTCGGGGTGGCCATGAACCTGGAACCTTTGGATTAGCATCAAGGGTGTAAGCCATCTAGACTCCATGGATGAGTCAGCCAAGAACCAAACTGACTACCATCGAGCTGATTCCAACTCACAGCGACCCGACAGGACAAGGTCCTGTGGGTTTCCAAGGCTGTGGCTCTTTACAGGAGTAGCAAGCCTGGTGGTCTTTCTCCTGAGGAGCGGCTGGTGGTTTCAAACGTGTGGTCAGCAGCCCAACATGTAACCCCTATGCCACCAGGGGTCCTGCCGATGGTCTAGGAGCCAGCATTACCAAATGTTGCCTGTGCCGCTCATAGCTGCGGTCTGTTTTCTACCTCTGCCCTCTTGTATGTCAGCCTTCGGCTTCTGAAGTCAGTGGCGGAGCCCTGGCTGGGGTCATCATCGGAGCTTTGCATTGCTTGATGGCCTGGGGAGTCCTCAGGTGTCATCATTCACGTATGAGTCTCACATAGGAAGAACCTTATTTAAGGAGTGACCTGTGTTGATCCGCATCTGTTACAGACCACGGTCATTGACTACGTGAAGCCCTCAGATCTCAAGAAGGACATGAACGAGACCTTCAAGGAGAAGTTCCCACACATTAAGTTAACACTCAGCAAAATAAGGAGGTAGGTGAGGATCGGCACCCACCCCAACTTACCCCTCAGACCGCTCTCTAGCTCGCAGGAAAAACTCGTGCCATGTAAGATGGTATCCTCTCCTTCCGGGACACCAAGCATGGTCCCCGTCAGTAAGAAGAGGCTGCCCTGCTAGCGTCTTTGGTGTGGTAGGAGAGCCACTGGAAGCAGGGCAGGAGTGGAGCTTTGGGCCCTGCTTGGCCTACATCTGGGGTCATGAGCCTTTGCGGAGAGACTCCCTTCATCCTGACTCATCAGTTCAGTCAGAGCCACGTGATTGAAAACTCAGCACGAGAAGCCATCCATTCCCCTCTTTCTGAGATGTAGGTAAAACCAGAGAGGAAAGAGTTGGTGTAGCAGGGTTTGAAAAACCCACCCCCCTCCCACCCCCGCCTGCCCCGGGATCTGTCCCAAGAGGGAAGTCCAGCTCTGCCTTTGCACAGGCACTAAGACAGCCCACTGGACCCCAGCAGCTCACTGGATCAGCAGTCAAAGTACTGGGCCCAAGAGAAACTGATCTGAGTCTGTGTACAGTGTACAGTGTGTGTGCGCATGTGTGTTTAGTAATAGAAGCTAAACGGTATGCCGACTGGATGTTAGGCTGTGTGCCCTAATAATGAAGTGATGCTGGCATATCCCAAGCCAAATGCATGAGAAAAACAAGGTCTTTGCACTCTGCCCACTGCAAGCTTGCATGGGGCTGAATAGCTTGAACAACAGAGAAGTCAGCAGCCCCAGCCCTTAAGGCACCCCGTGCACTCCCACTTCACCCGTCTCACATCGCCCTTCTGGGAAGGCACAAGAACAAATGCGTTCCAGCGGCTGCTCGGGTGGGCCCTGCAACCCCCAGGGCCCACCACGGCTTCCCCCCTCCCCCGTCTCTTCTAGTCTGAAGCGAGAGATGCGGAAGCTGGCTCAGGAGGACTGTGGCTTTGAGGAGCCCACGGTGGCCATGGCCTTCGTCTACTTCGAGAAGCTGGCCCTCAAAGGAAAGCTGAACAAGCAGAACCGGAAGCTCTGCGCCGGAGCCTGCGTGCTGCTGGCAGCCAAAATCGGAAGTGACCTCAAAAAGCACGACGTCAAGCACCTCATCGATGTAAGTGGCCGCGCTGGCTGGGCCAGCACACGTGACATGGTACAGCCTGGTCTCATGAGCCCGCCCCAGAAGGTCCTGGAAGGCGGGGGAGGGTTGAGGAGTTGTCCTTTCAGGTAGATCCAGGTGCTGTGCCTTAGAGCCAAGACGTGAACCACTTGGGCCAGGCTGCAGTTCCCCAGCGTGGGTGGCGTCTGGCCCAAAAACTCCCATTTCCAGAAACCACTCGGAGTGAAATTATTCTCACGGCTACAGACGCCACTGTAATTGGCATGCAAGGGAGCTGTGGTCAGTGTGGTCCAGAGTCTGTCAGACACATTAGCTCGCAGACCTGGGTGTTCCTAGCTGCCACCCCTTAGGGAAGGGGGCATGAGTTTGGCCTGGTGGGTGGTAGTCTTTGGAAAGGAGAGTACCAAGCAATGCAAGCCCATACTGGCCTCCTTGGGCTGAAACATGGACGCCCATGTCCATCTGTCTTCCTTAGTGATAGAGAAAAGCAGCTAATGTCAGTACCCAACACACACACACACACACACACACACACACACACACACACACACAACATCCTATGAGTCTGTTCTTTCCTGATTTGAAGCAGAAATGGCCCAGAATTGTCTGGCTCATAAAGTAACTACTTTCAGGAATGAACATGGGGTCAGACGCCATATCTGAACTGAGCCTCAGGATGCTTACGGAGGGACAGTCGTCATAAAATGCTAAGTGTTCCATGCACATTTAATCGGGATTGGATAACAGGCCACAGCAGACCCGGTGTATCAGTGCAGACTGCAACGGGTCGCTGGTTGCCATAGCAATTAACTGAGAGACCATCCCAGTCAGGATCTGAATGCAGGCACCACTCACTCACGGGCATCTGTTCATTAGATTCATAGCCGTTCGTATTAGAAAAGCTGGGCCAAAGCCGGAGCAAAATGTGCGCTAGGAAGAACTGGGCCCTTTCTATGTGTCCGGCCTGCTTGCCATCCATTTTCTACCCAGCTGCCCTGCACTGAGGCGGGCAGTGTGACCTCGCTCAGATGTGCACAGGCCGTGGGACTCGGCAGTGAGGGGTCTCTCTACTGTCAAGTCCTTGCCCGGAAGATGACGCGATCGGGTCTCCCGTTCTAACCATCTGTCACAGTGGATACCTTGCTATAACCAGTCTTAAAACTCGCCGGAAGAAGCTTGCTGGAACAGGGCAGGGTGACGTTTCAGTCTTTCACTGTCTACATGGCCTGGGACATGCCGGTTAAGCACTTGGAAGACTCCATCTCTTCACCTGCAGGGCTGAGGGCTGAGTCCTCCTGGCACCGCCCCCTCTTCCTCCACCGAGTTACGCCCATGGTAGGTTTCTGTGAACGCCCACTGGCTGGTGGACAGAGATGTTAAACCAAGCCCAATGCTGTCCATTCAGTGCCCACTCACAGCGACCCCCTCGCACAGAGTAGAGCTGCCCCACTGCCCCGTGGGGTCGTCAAGGTCGTCAGTGTGGACCGAGCCAACATCGTCTCTCCAGAACAGCAGCTGGTGGGTTCAAAATGCCAACCTTTCGGTTTGCAGCTGAGCACTTACCTGTGGTGTGGCCAGGGCTCCTTGATAGACGTGTCCCCTCTACCCCACCCCCCAACAGAGCAAGCTTAAAAAAAAAAAGCTCGCTGCCATTAAGTCAATACTGATCCATGGAGACCTTATAGGACGGGGTGGGTTTCCGAGACTGTCACTCTTTACGGGAGGAGAAAGCCCCGTCTTTCTCCTGCAGCCACAGGTGGTTTTGAACTGCTGACTTTGCAGCTCACACGCAGCCCAAAGCTTAGGGTTTTCATTTCAGAGCTGAACCACCCTTTGGTTTTCTTTCCTCTTTGCTGCAGAAGCTGGAAGAGAAGTTCCGGCTGCATCGACGAGAACTGATAGCCTTTGAGTTCCCCGTGTTAGTGGCCCTGGAATTCGCCCTTCACTTGCCAGAGCACGAAGTCATGCCCCACTACAGACGCCTGGTCCAGAGCTCCTAGCACAGGCCCAGCGGAGGGGCGCGCTTACCACCGGGAGCAGCACTTACTACTGGAGATGCAAAGCCAGAAGGGGCCACCCTGTCCAGCCGCCGCCGCTCACAACATGTTTTTGTGGAAGCAGCACCGGAAACTTTCCAGGGAGCTTCTCGGAGCGAGGGCAGGCGGAGGCATGGGCTGGAGACCACAGACCAGCTGGGGCCCAGGGTGGTCAAGGTCCAGCACAGCCTCTGCAGAAGGCAAGAGTTCTTCGAGGCCCAGTCCAGGCCTCCTCCTAGGTACCCCCATACCTTGGGAGCATCCCCCAGGACCTTCCCTCCAGACCTGTCCCAACTCTGAGTGGCAGGTGGGAGGGCAGAGGGAGATTGGATTTCCAGGGAGGGAGGGGGGTAGATTGAAAGGTACCCTCACTGTGTCAAAAGAGCGTGCCAATCTATTTTTGTATCTGCTATTGGAAGTGCACTTTCCCCTGGGGCGTGGGGATGACTGAGAGAGTGGGTGGGGCGGTATGGGTGGGTGTGTGGGTGATGCTGCGCCAGCCCCGGCCCCCAGACCAGTCCCCTGTTTCTAGTGCAGGCCTCGGCCTGGGGTCAAGAGCCAGGCCAACCTTCTGTTTCTGGACAGTGGCCACTCTGTCAGCACCAGACTGTTGGACACCCTCGCCCCCTTACACAGCGCCACTGTTTCTGCCACAGCTACTACCACCAGCGGGACAGAGAAAAGCTCTCAGTCGCAGACCCAGCTGCGGGGACCTTCCTAGTCTCGCTCGTGCAGGGGGGCACCACCGTGGGTGGGCAAGGATCCCCCGCCTCGCACTTTCCCACCGTGGGTGCGGCTGGAGGGGCGCCCCGCGGTGTGCGTTCCTGTGCTCTATGTTAGAGCGGTCACAGCACGCCCACTGTGCCAGCTATGTCAAAAACAAAAGTGTTTTATACAAATCAAGAGAAGGGACAAGACCATGGCCGCTGAGGGGAGGCTCTTGACAGCTGAGACAAACTGGGGTTTGAGCTGAAGCCAAATGCCTCCAAGAGGCAGCGGCTCTTCACAGGGTCCCCCCCGCACCTGTGGGGTTTCAGCCCGCTGGTTCCGGCAGCCGCAGTGACCTGTGCCGACAGGTCACCAGGTGGTCGTGTCATCTCTGGCACCAGCCCAAGAGAGGTGCCAGCCAGTCCCTGACCTAGGAAAGTCTCTGTGTCCATGTAAAAAGAGAATTAAAGTATTTTCTTGTTTTATATATCCATGTATGCGTATACCCATATATCCTATCAGCACCTTCTTGCCCTGCATTGATAGGCCCGCTCATCTGCCACCACTCCAACTCGGTTCTGACTGAGCTTTCGAGCACACGCACAGAAAGGGAGGTGGAGGGACGAGTGTGGTCAGCTGAGCTTGGGTGGACTGCATCATTTTGTCGGATGAGAATATCGAGCGGCGGCTGGTGAAAGAGAAAATTAAGTACTTGGGTTCTTGGAGCCCTGGAATATAACCAGCTGACTCCTCTGTGTTTGGCTGACAAATGCCCTGGGTGGAATCGCTTTTAAATGGCAGTCTTGGTTGGGAGGATAGCTCTTCTCTGGCTGATCGAAAACCCTCCATTCTCAAGTTGACTCCTCCGCCTGCGGACGCTGTGTGTCAGGACAGACCTGTGCTCCGCAGAGCTGTCTGAGACGGACTTTTATCAGACGTAGATCACCAGGCCTTTCTTCCGAGGTGTGTCTTGGTGCACCCACACGTCTGACCTTTAGGTTAGCAGCTGAGCACTTAGCCATGTGCACTACCCGGACTCCAAGCTAAGCCAACTATTAAAGGGGCAACTATTTAAGGGGGCCTGGTGGTGGGGGGGGTTAAGCAACGGGCTGCTAAGGGCAAGGCAGGAAATTCAAACCCATTCGCTGCACCAAGGGTGTAAAAGGAGCCTGTCTGCTCCTTAAAGATGTGCAGTCTTACAACCCCTGGGGAGCAGGTCTCGGTCTGCAGGGTCACTCTGTGCGGACGGCGTGGCAGTGGGTTGTCGAGGTTCAAGGTTCATAGGCAGACTGGGAAGCAGAGAGTCTGTAAAGCCCCTCATCACCCTGAACCTCCAAATATGTTCTCCATCGTCTCTCGGGCGAAGGCAGGGTGGACAGTGTGTGTACTGCACATGCATCCTGTCCAAAGACAGGCCACTGGCATCCAGAAAGGCCTTGCCCCTTCCCATTGTCCACTCAACTCTCCTGCCAAATGCAGGGGGCAGGGAGTCACCGTGGGGGGCACGGGCAACGGCCCAGATGTGGTGACGGAACGCTCTGTCCTTCCTGTGCCTTAAAACCAAGCACGTATTCTTAGATTTGAGGGGCTTTCTTTGCTGTTTTGTTTTATGGTGTATTTTTTTTTTAAGCATTTACGAGATGGAGATTTTAAAAGGTACCCATTTCGGGTATTTTTATTTTCCCAAAGACTCTATTTCAATGTGAACCCATGGTGTGGCCTGCAGGTTCCGCGAGCAGAGCTTGTGACTGGTTTTGACATCTCCCTTTGCTTGTCCGTAGCCTGAGCCCACTGGTGCCGGGAGGGTGCGGGCTGGCTGCAGGTGTCTCCAGAACTGCCCCTGCACTTCCACTGGTGTGTTCTGGGAAAAGCCCTAGCCTCAAGCTTTGGAGGCCTGGTGGGCAGGATTCTCAGCAGGTGGGCTCTAGCAGACCCTGAGGCCCAACCCTTGGGCCCTCCACCACAGAGGGCAGGCCTGGGCCAGCTGCCCCGAAGTCTGCCAAGTCTCTGCGTGCACAGACTCTTGTGGAGAAGCTCTGGAGTCAGCACCAGCTGCTCTGCCTGACCTGTTGCCCCAGAGCTGGTTTGGGAGGCGGGAGCAGGCAGCGGGGATGGGGGTCTCCAATCGTCTGTGCAGTCAGATTGGAGCTGGCTGGTGGAGCTGCCCTTGGGAGGAAGTAGGGACAGCAGGAAGGGGCGGTGTCCAGCCGGTGCCTTTGTGCTCCTGCCTGAGCTGTGCTCTGTCCCACCCGGGACTCTGGGGGCTTTAGCACTCATGGGCTACAGACAGCCACGGTGTCCCTGCCCCTTGGGGCCAGAAGTTTTCATTCTCTTTCTTTTCCCGCACGAAGAAACCCTACATGGGAACGGGAAGTCTCAGCCGGGCTCAGCGTGGGGCAGGCAGGCACTTCTTCCACACGCAGCCCTCGAACACGAGCCCTGCCTTGCTGATTTGGGAATGGGGGGGTTCGAAGCCGCTTCCCCTCCACCACCACCCACTCCTTCCTGTCCCTCCATGCCCCAACAGCAAATAAAACTGTTCCATGCGATTTATTCTCTTGTAGTCTTTATCTCTCCCAGGTACTTCTGGGCCAGGGCTGACTGGCCCTCCACTGGCCCTGGCCACCTCAGATAACTCGGTCATGCCCGAGCCACCTTTGCCATCTGTGATGGAGCGGGGCTGCAAGGGGCTGGGGAGTCAAGCGAACAGGCTGGGCGGTTCTGGAACCTGCCGCTGTGTCAGCCGCCCAGTGCATGATGCGTCGTCAGAATCAGTTCCATGGCCGGGGATTCGGTTTTAGTTTGCTCGCTGTGTGAGCCCAGGTGCCCTAGTGGCACAGCGGGTTGCGCATTGGGCTCCTAACCACAAGATCAATAGTTTGAAACCACCCGTTGCTCCAAAGGAGGAAGACGAGGTTTTCACTCCCACGAAGAGCTACAGGCTGAGGATCCCACAAGGGCAGTTCTAACCTGACCTATAGAGTCATGATGAGTCTGAATCTACTTGATGGCAGTGAGGTGGTTTTTCTCCTTTTTAAGTCACTGTGTAATCTGCCCACTGTGAAGGCACCCTTCATAGGCAGGGGCTCCCTGGCGACAGGCAGCCTGAGCTCACCATCCTGGAGCTGTTGTGGGAGTCTGGCAGAGGAGGGTGCTGTCCAGACCACAATGTGGCTAAGGGCCAGAGGACACAAATACCATTAGACAAAAGGAGGCACCCCCAGGCCTCGGCGCAGCAGCACGGAAGTGATCCAAGGAATTATCCAGGGTTCCACCCCTGGGTGAGATGGGACACCTCTCAAAGAGCCCACCCCCCACCCCACCCCCAAGAACTCACTGGACCTCCCAAGGCTCCTAATTGTGGATATAAGGCTGCTTAAAACATCCCTGGCCAGAACTGTGCTTTCATAGACTTAGAAAAACAAACAAACCCACCCCACTGCCATCGAGTGGATTCCAACTCACGGTGAGTCGACGCCGGTTTCCCAAAGCTGTAAATCTTGGTGGGAGCGAACAGCCCCTGCTTCTCCGAGGAAGGCTGGTGTGTCTGGACCACTGATCTCCAACACTCCAAGGATGTCCTCCGAGGGCCAGCAAGGTGAGCACCGCCCAGGGACCTGTGGGAAATGCAGAACCTGCTCCGTGACGTCCCCTGGGGATACATGCGGGTGAGATGCTGATAGGCCCTGTCTTCCGAGAGCCCTGGAGCTCCGGCCAGCCACCGTGTGGCACAGTAAAGCTGCCCCACGAGATCTTCTTGGTGACTGGATGGCAGTGGGTTTAGGTGTGGGGAATCCATCTGGCAGCAAGTTACCAGGCCTTTCTCCCGTGGAGCCCCTCGCTGAGTGTCAACTGCCAAGCTCTCAGCACTTGGCTGAGGGAGGGCTTAACCATATGAGCCACATACACCCCCACCCCCCCGCAGGTGGGCCTTACAGCAGACTCGGTTCTCTTGGCCTTGACTGGGAGTCAGATGGATTTGTTCCGAGCCAGGCCCTCTCAGCAGCTGGGAAGAGGGTCACACCACAGGGGAAGGCCAACCCCCAGGGCCCAGATGCTTAGGGACTCGGCTCAGAACAGAAAGCCCCACCGAGGCATGGAGCCCGTGGCCCAGCAGGTGCAGACAGAATCGCTCGCTAGAAAACAAATGTTTAATCTCTGGTTTTCCAAACCAGGACACCGCTCCCTCCCCTCTGAGCACTGCCCTGAGTCCCCAGTGAAGCCGACTTGCTTGTCCAGGAGATTCTAAGCCAGCTAGGCAGACGCTAAGTTCCCTAAGGCAGCCGCTGTCTCCCATAAAACTGGTTTTCATTTTTCCTTTGCAAAATGAAAAGCAAGACACAAATGGAAGAGACTGCTCCCCCCACGCCTCCCTCCTGTGCATGGGAGACAGTGGCAGGGGCTCTTGCCAAAGGGGACAGACCTTGGGGCAAGACATTTTCCTGGGCGGAGCCCGCAGACCAAAGGGAGGGCTGGATCAGAGGGAAGCTTCCCAAGGCCATGGACACTGGGAGGAAGGTGGGAAGGAAGGAGCCCGCCCCAGGGTCACTCAGGGGGACAGTGACCCCTCTGATCAGAGGGCCGCCTGGGAGGACTGGATGACAGTGCAGTCAATGCCCGCCCGCCCGGCCCAGGGCCAGGAGCAAAGTCGGCGCTCAGTAAACGGACGCAATGATTACCACTGCCTCACACTGAACCCGACTGAGTTAGCAGAAGTGGAATAAGATGAGGACCCTGCTTTCTAGAGGCGGCCACAAAGGTGACACCCAGGACCAGATGGGGAGGATAAGGGGCCTGTTTAGATTTGCCGCATCTGGGCCTCCAGGGGCTGGCGGGCGAGGGCCGGGGAGTCATCTGCCTTAAATCTCCAGGTTGGGCTCCAGGCAGCCCAGAGGCAGGGGCCTTGCTGCTTGCTCTGCCCCAATGGAGAGAAGGTTCCTCTACCTCCCTCTGACCCCTCCAAGGTCCGGACCAGCCCATCTGTGCTGTGCTGGGGACGGTTTTCCCTTTGCTGGGACACTGGCAGCAGTGGCATCTCTATTTAAAATGCCAGCAGGGTCACCCAGGGTGGGGTGGGGGCAGATTTCAGCAGACAGACAGACTAGGAAGAAAGACCCAGCAAACTACTACTGCGAAGCAGCCACCGACAACCCCATGGCTGGCACCGGAGCGGTGTCTGCCAGAGTGCTGGGTGAGGAGCTCCGAGGTGGCAAGGCACACAGATGCCCCGTGGCCGCAGCCAGGCCCTGAAGCCCACCAGCAGTCGTGACGACCATGGGCAACACCTCACACAGAGGGTCGAGTTGTTGCTGACCAGGACCCCCCTGCCAGCTGGGTCTCAGTCCTCGTGGGGTGCGGTGTGCAGCAGAGGGGGCATTGCTAAGAAGAGCATGCCCTCCCCAGACGTGGGTGGAGTAGGTGGTGGTCAGGGCACCGGCGCTTCCAGCCCCAAAGTCCTCAGAGTGAGCCTGCAGGAGGCCAGGGGGACAGACAGGCAGCCACGCAGGGAAGTGTGTGAGGAGGAGTCAGCTAGGGAAGCACGGCACGGCCCCAGCGCAGGTGGGATGAGCTCGGGGAAGCACCTGGTGATGGCGACAGCACCGAGTCTCTGGTGGCAGGGAGGGGCCTGGACCCGCACTGCTCACCTTGGAGACAGAGAAATGACAACCCTGTCAGGGTGGAGCGATCGCTGGACAGGCTGGCCTGCAGGCCATGACCCCGTGAGTCCCAGTCTGCCAGAGGGCAGTGGATTCAGTTTTGGTCGGACCTGGGCTGCCCTCCCTTGTGCCTGAGTGGGAAACTCTCTGTTATGGAATCAGTGCTGACTCACAGAGATCCCCTGTGGGTTTCCGAGACTGCAACTGTAACTGGTGACGGGAGTAGAAAGCCCAGTCTGTCTCCCTCTGAGAAACACTAGGTGATTTCGAACTATCAACCTTGAGGATCACAGCCAATTGTCAGATAAGCCAAGACCAATAGGGCCAGTGGCTCTTCCCACCCACACCCACACCCACACCCACCCACTGGGACCAGTGGCTCTTCCCACAAGTACATGTGCTTACACACATGGTCACAGACACTCATACACAGATACATATACATATAGCCACGTGCACACACACACACACACACACACACACACATCCCACGGGGGGCAGCTACTCTTACTGCCTACACACAGATACATACAGACACACTCACAGATACACAGCCACAAATACACACAGATAAACGCACACTGTAACACTCACCAATATACACAAACTACAGGTATGCACACACATATACACAGCCACACAGACACACTCACGGTCTCAGTCAAAGACTCACTAGCACGCAGGGTAAAGTTCGGATACACACACACAATCCGAGCCTCAGCAGACACCCACACAGACACCCAGTCACACCAACACACACAGATGCAGTCACACTGATGGACACGACACACCCTAGCACACACACAGACACACAGTCACGGAAACGCTGCATTGGACACCATTTCTCAGGACCCAAGTCCCACCCCTCCGCTCCCATCACCACAGCAGCTGGCGGACCATCCAAGTGCCTGGATGGGGCCTCCAGTCCAAGGAGGCATGGCCACAGCAGGGGCTGGGGAGGCTGGAAGGCACTGCTGGCCAGCCCCGAGCTCACAGGGACAGCGACACTAAGTGGTAGCCAGCACCAGCTCTGAGGACATTGGTGCCCCCTCTTCCACTTTGTCAGGCAGAGAGGCTGTGGTGCACCATGTCCTCTGATTCTGAGATAGCCTCCTGCCTCCCACGCAGGTGGCTTCAGGCTGAGGCCACCTTGCCCTTGCGCTGAGATGACAGAACCAGGACCCTTGGTGTAGAGGGGTCTGTGATGTCGGGAGACCGGGAAGAGAGCAGTGGGTTCCACATGGCACCCACTGGCATCCTACTGCACATCTCCAAGTGCCCGGACTCCATCCGCACTACAGGTGGGGCTGCGTGGGGTCCAGTGGGGCCGTGGGACGTGCCCCAGGTCCCTCCACAGCAGAGCACTCCCTGAGGCTTCCTGGAGGCTCTGGTCTGTTCTCTCCTGTCCCCTCAGACAGCAGGAGGTGGCTGCAGCCCTCCTCCCCTCCCCGGGAGCTGGGAAGGTTCTGTCTTTGAAGAGGCACAGTGATCGCTTCAACCACCAGTGGGCTCCTCATTACCCCCCTCACTCACTGTCGTGGCCTCCATTCCGACTCACAGCAACGCTATTGGACGAGGCAGAACTGGACTTTGGGTTTCTGCAGCTGTAAATCTCACTGGGAGCAGAAAGCCTCATCTTTCTCCTGTGGAAGAGCGGGTGGGGTCAAACTGCTGACCTCGTGGTTAGGAGCTCAATGGGTAACCAACCCACGAGGCCGCCTCTCCTTGTCACCCAGTCGCTTCTGAGTCACAGCAGCCCTGTAGATCAGGGAAGAGCTGCCTCTGTGGGTTTCCAAGACCGTCACTCTGTAGGGGAACAGAAAACCCCCTCTTTCTCCTGTGGAGTAGCTGGTGGTTTCAAACGGCCAACATCGTGCTTAGCAGCTCGAGGT